ATGTTTGTGTCTATTTTCATGAGGGTTATTGGTCTGTAGTTTCACTTTTATTGATGTCTCTGCCTGCATTTTTTAGCAAGGTTATGCTTGCTTCACACAATGACTTTGAGAGAATTCCATCCTTCTCTATATTCTGGAATAGTTTGAGCAGGATTGGTGTCAGTTCTCTGAACATTTGGTAGAATTCTCCAGTGAAAATGTCTGGGCCAGGACTTCTTTTCTTGGTAATTTTTTTAAAGACCTGTTCAATTTCTTCTTCTTTTGTTATGGGTCCATTCAACTTTTCCACCTCAGTTGTGTTAGTTTAGGTAAGTAGCATGTTTCTAGAAATCTAGCCATTTCTTCTACATTTTCAAAGTTGTTGGAGTGAAGTCCTTAATAGTATCCCAATATTTTCTTTTTTATTTTAGTTGGTTCTGTTGTGATTCACCCAATCTGTTTCTTATTTGTGTTATTTGTGTTCTCTCCCTCATTTGTTAAATTTGCCAGTGGTTTGTCAATGTTTTAATCTTAAAAAAAAAAAAAAAAAAAAAAAAACTGTGATCTTGTTTATTTTTTCTATTGTCTTTCTATTGTATCTTTCATTTATTTCTGCTCAGATCTTTATTATTTTCTTTCTTCTGTAGACTATTCTTGCTTTTCTTTTTCTAATTTTTTGGAAATGTTTGTTCAAGATGTTGACTTTGGTCCTTTCTTCTTCTTCTTCTTTTTTTTTTTTTTTTAAATTTATTACTATAAATTGACTTCTGATCACTTCTTTTGCTGTGACCCAGAGATAATGGTATGTTGTATTTTCATTCTCATTTGATTCAAATAATATTTTTAATTTCATTTTTTATTTCTTCTATTACCTAGTTTTTCTTAAGGAGGGTTTTTCAGTTTCCATGTATTTTCTCTTTTTTTCTGTTGCTCTTCCTATTGTTGATTTCCAATTTTATAGCATTGTGATCTGAGAAGATGTTTTTCTGTATTTCAATGATTTTAAATTTATTAGGACTTGCATTATGGTCTAACCTATGGTCTATCATGGAGAAGGTTCCATACGCACTGGAAAAGAAGAAACATTTTGCTATTGTTGGGTGAAGTGCTCTGTAGATGTCTATAAAGTCAAGTTGATGGATTGTATTGTTTAGTTCTTCTGCATCTTTTTTGAGTTTTCAGTTCTATCTTTCATTGAAAGTAGGAGCTCTGGAAGTGCATAGGGCACTTGACTGCTAACCAGAAGGCTGGTGGTTCAAACCCACAAGCCACTCCTCAGAAGAAAGGTTGGACAATCTACCTCTATAGTGATACTGCCTCAGAAATGCAAGAAGGGATTGCTATGCGTCGGGTCCGACTTGAGAGCACATGACAACAACAATTATTTAGTTCTTCTGCATCTTTTTTCAGTTTCTTTCTAGTTGTTCTATCTTTCATTGAAAGTGGTGTATTAAAGCCTCCTACTATAACTGTGGAGTTTTCTATTTGCCTTTTCAATTCCGTTAAAGTCTGTTCTATGTATTTTGGGGCTCTTTCTTTGGGTCCATAGATAATTTTATCATTATATATTCTTGTTTGATTGATCTTTTAATCACTATGTAATGTCCTTCCTTGTCTCTTACAGTGGTTTTTGTTTTAACGTCAATTTTATCAGTATTGCCAGCAATATTGCCACTTCTACTCTTTTTTGGTTCCCATTTGCTTGATATATCTTTTTTCAACCTTCGATTTTTAGTCTATTTTTTCTTTGTCTTTAAAGTGTGTCTCTTGTAGACAATATACTGATGGGTTATGTTTTCTTATCTATTCTGCAACTCTCCCTCTCTTGAGTGGTGCATTTAACCATTGACATTCAGAAAAATTATCTATAAATATGAATTTGTTGCTCTCATTTTGTTTTATGTTTTCTTGTGGTGTTCCTGGCTTCTTTGTTCCATATAATTTTCTGTGCTGAGCTCATTTTGTTTATAAATCATGTTATCATTTCTTTTGTTCCTGTTGTTTAGTATTTGCTAGATATTTGTGCTTCTTGTCTTTTTTTATTGTGATGTGAAAGTTTATCATTTTTCATTGAAGTTACTCTGTGATTTATAATTTTCTCCCTAAGTTTAGAACAGTCCATTCTATCTTGCAACTCTCTTCAATTCATCACCATTTTGAAATTCTGTAACTACATTATTTTTTCCCTCTTTTTGATTGGTAGTTCTTCTCATTTGCCAATTGATTTCTCTGGTTCCCTGTTTACAATCTTGTAAGCTTATTTTACTTTTGATATTTCCATAGCTGTGTTGGTTTCTGGGTTATGTCATCTTGTGTATTAATAGTCAGTTGTTTGCTATTATTGGTTCTCTGGTCAAAGTACTCCCTTTATTATCTCTTTTATGGTTAGTCTGGTTTTAGCAAATTCCCTTAATTTCTGGTTATCTGGAAAGTTCCTAATTTCACCATCATATTTGAGGGACAATTTTGTTGGGTACATAGTTCTTGGTTGGAAATTTTTCTCTTTCATAATTTTATATATACCATCCCATTGCCGTCTCACTTACATGGTTTCTTCTGAGAAATCAGAGTTTAGTCTTATTGGTTTTCCTTTTTAGGTAATTTTTCCTATGACGTTCTCAGGATTCTTTCTTTGCTTTGGTTTTGGTGAGTTTGATGATGATATATATTGGTGATTTTCTTTTGGGGTCCATTCTGTTTGGGGTTCATTGGACTTCCTGAATGGAAACATTGTCATCTTTCATCATATCAGGGACATTTTCTTCAAACAAATCTTGAACAATTTTCTCTCTAGTTTTATATTTCCCTTCCTGTTCTGTAATTCTGACTACACATAGGTTATTCCTTTGGATAGTAGTCCACATGAATCTTAGGCTTTCTTCATTTTGTTTTGATCTTTTTCTGATTGATCCCTTTCCAAAGAAGTATTGAGGTTTTGCCTTCAATCTCATTAATTCTGTCTTCCATTGGTTCAATTCTACTCCTTTCCCTTCCAAAGTGTTATCTATTTTTGGAATTTTTTATTAATCTACTGAATTTCTATCTGCAGATTTTGTATCATTTTGATTGTTTCATTTATTTTGTCAGTTTGTTCTTGTATTGTCTTTCAAAGTTGTAATAGGATTTTTGCTGTGTTTTCCTCAATTTTGTCAGTGTTTCTCTTGATCTGTCTCTCAATCCATTGAAGGTACCTAAATATAATTCTTTTGAATTCCTTATCAGGGAGTTCCAATGCTGCTTCTTCCTCAGTGATTTGTTCTTGGTTTCTATCCTGCTCCTTTGTTTCTCCCGTTTTATCTTGCTTCTTTGTGTGAACTTTCATAGTCTGTTGTCTCCAAGACATTGTGACATTGTTGTGTTCATATTTAACTGGAGATTGTATGGTAAAGTGATTCACCCTCATTTTCTTTTCTTCCTCCTCCTCTTCTTCTTCTTCTTCTTCTTCTTCTTCTTCTTCTTCTTCGTCTTCTTCTTCTTTCCCCTGAATATAGCTGAGGAAGCAGAATAATGTGCTTCTCTATTCAGTAGTTGCCATTGGCAGCACTTATGCACTCACCACCTTCTCCTGTCAGATGTGATAGAGAATAAGAGTGGCTGCAAAGATCTCTGTTAACTCTTTGTGAAGAGCAGTTAAGGGTGAGTTAGGCTCTTATTGGTGGTTGTGTATCATTGGCCAGTTGGTGCAGAAGGCGGTGGTGGCCTTCACTCAGTAAGTAGGGCTGCATGAGGTGTGGGTGTGGTTGGGTTATATGGACATGTTTGCTGTCTCCTACTCAGACAAAAAAAAAAAAAAAATCTATCAAAAAAGCAAAAAAAAAGTGGAGGAAAAAAAAAAAACCTGCATAAAAACACAGGGATATTCACCAAAAAGAGAAAAAAGAAAGAAAAGAAAAAAAGAAAGGCAATAAATTATAGGAAATATTTAAAGAAATATTTTAAAATGCCAAAAGATGTATGAACAGAAAAAAGGAAAAACATTAGTTGGGGGAAAAAAACCCCTGCAATATCTGGGGAGCTGGGGAGGGAGGAATACGAGAAAAGAAGGAGAGTAGGAGAATAATGAAGAAAAAAATGGAGAAAATGAAAACACTAAAACCAGAATTGGGAAGAACCACAAAAAAGAAAAAAGAGAAAAAATGGGAATGAGGAAAAGAGAAGACACAAAAAGCTGAAAACTAGAACCTGGGAAGGGTAGAAGAAAGAATAGTAATAGGATGAAAAAAGAAATGATAATAATTATTATTTTGAAACAGACAAAAACAAACTTTAAAAAAAAAAAATCTGGGCAGGGTGGTACAGGGCACCTAGGATCCATCAGAGTACTCAGACTGGAATGGATTTCCTACTGGCCCAGAAGGTGAGTGGGAGTCTGTTCACCAAGTGAGTGTGGGAGGTAAGTAGAATAAGTAATACGAATAATAAGTTAATGTTGCACCTTTCCATTTCTCAGTGTCCAGAATGTCCTTGTGATACCCAGCAAATGGAGCTTATTCCTAAGTAGCTGGAATTTGAGAGAACTGCCATTTTAATATGGAAAATGGTCAAAACACTTGCAAATATTCAAAATGGCTGTGCCCTCCAGACAGGCAAATGTCCACAGCTCAGCCATTCTCCCTCTTGGCTGCTTTCTCTTTTATTCAACAGCCACCAGGGCAGTCTTCCATGAAGTCCCTGTCCAGCAGGGCTGATTTTTAGGTCTGAACACCACTTGGCAATATCCAAGCTGTCCATGCTGTCAGGATCACTAACAGTCCACAGCTCTGTTTATCGCCTTTATTGATGTTTTCATGCAGGTTCTTCTACTAGTTGGAGTTTAGTCTACTCTGGTTCGATAGGATTGCTATAAGTCAGAATTGACTCAGCAACAGTAGGTTTGTTTTTTTTTGGTTTGGGATTTGTCATAAAATGTTCCTGGCCAGTAGGTGGATAAGATGACTAATCATTTCATTTCTTGGTTATCATATATGGAATTTTATAAACATTAAGTTAGTGGTAAAAGTTTTATTTTATTTTACTTTTAGGTTCAAGTTCTTCGGAATGCTGGAGAAGAAGTGACCTTGACAGTATCATTTTTAAAAAGAGCACCTGCTTTCCTCAAACTCCTGCTGAATGAAGATTGTGCATGTAAGAATTTGTGAAGAGTGTATGAAATGCTCACATTATCATTTTCCTTTCCTCACCATTATGTTCAGACAGTAACTGGAAATTTCTTTTTAAACTTGGGATTTGTGTCTAAATATAAATATTTCTATATAACAGGGTGTTTTATTAGCCCCCTAGGAAAAGGGAAGTGCTGTTATTCAGCAGTTATTTACCCCTCTCAGTTATCTTCTAACTTTATGATTGGTCAAACATATTTATTTAGAAACTGAGTATCATATCAAATATATACCAAACCAAACCAAAGTCATTGCCACCAAGTCAATTCAATTCAGAGTGAACCCTCCTTGGATTTCAGAGGCAGTATCTCTAAAGAAGTAGATTGCCCAATCTTCCCTCTGAGGAGTGGCTGGTGGGTTTATATCACCAGTCTATCAAGTATATATGCTATATATATAAATTTCATTAATAATATTTCATGAATATATTTTCTTTAGCCAGAAAATTACATACCCTTATTTGAGTACTGGACTTGGTTTAAAAGATTCCTTTTCCATTGCCCTATCAAGAATAGGGAGAAGGAGTTCTGGTAAGATGGTGGAAAAGGCAGAAACACTGCACAGACACTGTTCAACAAAGAAAATGGGAACCAATTAATGCAGATACAGAAGATAATCCTGGACCCAGGAGCCTTGCAGGAAAGGATATAGAAGCGAACTAAACTCCAAATAGCAGAAGAATTTGCATGAGAACACAAAAAAGAGACATATGGAACTGTGGTCTGGCAGCGGTCCTGATGGCATGACAGCTTGGATATTGCCAAGTGTTGTTGTTGTTATGTGCCGTCGAGTTGGCCCCGACTCATAGCGACCCCTCCTTGGGTTTCCGAGGCAGTATCACTACAGAAGTAGGATTGCCC